TACCGTAATGCAATTATTTGGCTGATAATAAAAAGTAAGCCTTCTAACAATATAAAGTGCGATATATGCCATGCCTCTTGAGTCGACTTATAGAGTAATCACCACCTTCTGAAATGGGTGTAAAATATTGAAAAAGGAGCTCATTCGAGAGAAATAAATTCTTTAAAAAGAATAAGAGATGAAGCGTAATGCTTTCGAGGGATCAATTTCTTCCTGATATTTATACATTCGTTGGGCTGTTTGAGACGCTCTGCTCTTTTACAATTCCTAAGTTGTTTTAAAACTTGCATTTGTCAATTTCTTGTTAATATTCGATGAAAGGAGATGCGCAGTTTTTTTTAACTTAATCATAAGAGATACTAGTGGAGCATATTAGAAACAGAAGTGTTATTCTGATTTAGACGAATATTTGTTAGACAGTTAATATAGTTCAAGTTAGTTTTGATAAGAGACCGTGTGTATAATTTGTAAAATGTTCAAGTTGTATTTATCAATATAGGTATAAATAATAAAGACAGACAGAAAATATCGAGACAAAAGCACATATACAAGAAGACTTGTATATGTATAGAAGATCTCATTAGGATGAAAAAAATATTGAAGGAAAAAAGTAAAAACAACAAAATGCAAATTCGATTTACCAATTTTATTAGTTGTAAGTATGATTATGTGGTTAAGGTGTATGCTTCTTAACCCAGGTATCATGGGTTCGAGCCATGGGTTTCTTCATATGACACCAGTACTTGTTGTATCTCGGAACCGGAATCGAAAGTTATTAATTTAATTTGCAAGGACTTGTTTCACAATGGAGCTTAAATAAATATGTTTGAACTAGTTATTAAAATGTTCCCTTTATAAAGCATTTTATTTGGTAGCACATTCTGATTTGTGTTTTGGATTGAATACCTTTGATGATATTATACCATTTAGGTTTTGCAGTCTTTGGGATTCTGTTTTTCTTTATTTTAGCATAATTATTTGCATTCATCTTATACTTATTTGAAAGTAGACTTCAAGTTGGTTAAATCACTTAGATCACGTGTAAATTGCCACTGTGAGTTTCAATGCATCTAGGAACTTTGAAGAAAGCAAATTTACGGAAGGTTGGTTGATTCATTGAGGTTGCTGTTCTTGCCTGAAATAATGCACGAAGGTGTAAATAATAATGTATGAACAGTTCTGTATTAAGCAAGTGTTTTAATGATATGATATGATGAGGGAAAACGTTACAAGCTGTTTTCTCCACGGCATCGAATTTATGTTGCTGTTTGCAAATCCTTACAATATATCCCACTCACATCGTAATACAGCTGCACTGAGTTCCTGAAAAAAGCGAGTTCATAAGCATAAACAAAGCAACTAGAAATCCCATATTGGTTAAATAAATGAAGTGACATTTATTAGCCGATGTTATGACTGGTCTTTTATCACAAAATATGTGTTCTTATCATATAATAAACATATCATTTAACACTCCAAAGATCTGAAAACTAAAATATTATTATTTATGTTACTTCTGCTGTCTAGGTATAATAAACTGAATTTTGCTTAGTACATGAGAAGGTCAGAGACAATCAATTTCATATCTATTTCACAACAGGCAAATCAGTCATATGGAAGGTAAAACGATTAGCCTTGAATATAGCTATATTCAAAAAAATTGTCTAAGAGTTTATAAATCAGCTATGCTATGTGCCCAAGTAATTGTTTACACTACCATTAATTGGATCGTTCGAACGATTCAATGATATTAATGCAAAATGAAGTTTGCTTATATCTTTGTCTTGATATATCGCTTGAAAATAATTACCTTTTAAATCATGGCATAAATATTTATTTAATAGTTTGTGATTATACGTATTTTAGCTCAAAATGAAAATAAAATGATAACGAATATCATAGAAAAGAGGTCCAGCCCTTGTATTTTCTTTAATAGACTGAAATGCATGAGCACCAAGGAGTGGCTGTCTAGTGCATGTACTTTAACTGCAGTACTATTAGTTCGATATTCGTTATAATTACAAACAATTTCGTTAGCAAAGCCACTTAATTATATCTGTAAGAGTTATTTATAAATTAATCATGCAATTACAAGCTCTATAACTTAACAATGATTAACTTTTATCATGCTGATTTACACCAACTTCAACACCGAACAGTTAATTCCCCGTTTAAGGAATTCCAATTTTGTTTATTTGTTTGTTTCATTTTACGCCTTTTCCCAACAGTATTTCAGTCATATAGGTGGGTAGTCACCTAACCTTCGTTCTCGGAGAGATACACCACTACTAGACTTTTTTTCTCCGTGTTAAACTACTGAAGCATCTCCCTGGGATCGAACCCACGCCAGAGAGGTAACTGTATTAGAAGTCATCGACTCTAACCCCTCGACAACGGAGGCGGTAAGGAATTCCAATATCGAACTGCTATTGAGCTATGAAATAGTAAACGACCTTGCCAGACTACATAGATACAGACTAAACAAGATTGCAAGGATTGATAATGGTGTGACAAAGGCTAAACTCTTGTCTTCGTATGTTTGAACAAACTTGCTGAGCAAAACAACATGAAGAGGTGGTTTAACGTCGTATGGTTTACAAACAATGACCTATTTATACAAGGTAACTGCGTTGTCATCCGATCGTTTGAAATGAAACATGTATGTTTGTGCTATAATCACTGCATTAACATCAAAATTCAATATTGATTTAGGGAGATAAAATAATTGTAGTCTAGAACAATTTTAATCAGCGTTCGACCAATCAAATATTTTAAAAGAGATGCAAAACATTTATAATTAAATCTCCTAAAGCTTCTAACAACTTCATAAATTGTTACCATCATTAAGGTAATTGAATTGCTAGCAAACGCTTAAAGTCATTAACCTTAAGAGAAAATATTTCAATGGCATAAACTTGGATCTCGTTTCAGCGTTAAAAACGTTTCACATAATCATTATTTTATTGATTAAATGTAATTTAAAAGAAATCTGAGAACTCTTATCAAACGAAACTTTGTACACAATTTGAAGGTCAAAGTTAGAAAACATTCATTTAAAGGTATATGTCTGTAAACATGTCTTAATAGCAGTTTTCATTTACCTTTGGAAATACCAGATAGGAATGTGATGGCATAAATAGTAAAGTTGTGAACAAACTCTTGTCTTTAATACAGAAAGCAATATCTAGACAACTTTAGTTACTCTAGGCATCTATCCAATTATCAAACTTCACGAATGAGGAGGTAACTGACATACCTACAAACTCCGTTATACACAGTCGTGTCTTACGTTAAGTGAAATGATAAATTGGTGATAAATATATCAACTAATTGCATATTTCTATAAACTCACCATCTTAGACGTATGACTTACATCTAGTCTTGCAAAATGCATGGTGTATTATTGTCTAATCTTATATCATATTTTGTTACAGAAGAAAGGATCGTTGAATCAATTGATAAATGTTTTTGAAAGTTGCATCATATTATTTTTTTATAACTAATTTTATACGGTCGATATCTCTGTTTGAAATATATGTAAAAAAATCGTTCAGTAGTGATTCAGTCCATTTTAACAAATATAAAAGCAGCTGCAATAAAAGCAGAACAACAACAGGATTGCCTTATTGAATGTTTATGTAAATCTAAATACGGGAAGCTTTATCTATTGCAATGTATACTGAATGTGTCTTTACTTTTGTACGGTGTATAAAAACACTATTCTAATTACAACATAAACATACTATTAGTGCCGACAAGAATATCCGAAGACTTTATGATAAATGTTTCCTAATGTTAAACAGCTTCCAAAACGGCAGATATCTACATCTGTATCACCAGCTTTTTCTGTCATATAAAATAATAGATTTTGATTAGAAAAATAACAAGCGAAAACAAATGGTTATATGTTACTGTAGCTTATTTATTCACACAATCATGTATTCAAAACGGTTGAATCGAAAGCAAGCTTAAAAGTAAAATGACATATATGCAAGACCCGAGAAAATACTAAAATATGTGTGGTATGCAAGACGATATAAACATGTTTTTTTCTTTTCAATGTAATGGAAAGTGATTTATACGAATCACAGAATCTAGATGCTTAATGACCATATAAGACAAAATAGACATTTGAAGTGGCACATGTGTCCAGAATGTGTTCTAAGAAGTTGATATTCTTACCGAAACAATGAATATGTCAATTTGTCATGAGAGAAATGAAAAAAACCTTGAGATGCTACATATGAATATTCAACCATGTAAGTATAAAAACAACAATAGGTTAAAAAAGAAGATACTTTGTAACAGATGATTACAAAATATTGACTATACATGTGTAATTATTAACGAAATTCAATCATTTTATATAACTTCGCATGTGATTGTGGGTCAACATAATTAAAATTTGTTGTTTTTTTTTTCATTAATGTATGAGAATCGTTCTTTGTAATGGTCTTTCACGACAATGAAGGTGAAGATCAATATGACTCAATTGCAACATTTGTTAATCGATCAGGTTTTGAGGCATGTGTCGTGCTACTTTGAACTGTTTTAAATCACGTTTTACAGTTACATTACACAATAAGATGGAAAATGTAAATATATCGTATTCCTATCATTACATACACATTCAGGTAAAATGCTTGCTTGAAATAATCCATTTTAAGTTTAAATGATTACGGTTGCATAAGACGGATAAAGGAATCATTTATTTGCTATTAACATACGCGAAAATATCATGTGGCCACACAGCTTTTAACATCGTGCACATTTAAGCTTTTACAATGCCACGCGATAGGTATTACATAGCCACATGTATGCGTCTGTACGTAAAACGTATGAACTAATATCCTTAACCTTTTTACTATGTAGCTTGAAATAGAGATAGATAATAAAACATGTATATTCTAACTAGTCGCTTAAATATAATAAATATCCTTATCAAGATAAACCTTCAATAATTTATTACTATATAACCTTTTTGTAGAAGATTGACTAGAGTATATTGGTTGTACAGTATGTGACATACACTTTATGTAAAAAGATAGGTCAGGTTACTAATAACAATATGGCATTTTCGTCTCAAAGAGAGATTACATTAAGGGATTTAGAGGAAGGTGACTTGATAGAGTTCTATCGGGCAATGGGGACTTTTTCTCACTGGGCTGTATATGTTGGTAAGTATCATTTGGCTAAAAAACACATTTATGTATAATGTATACTATCGTTTCTTTTTATTTATTGATTCATTTATTATGTTCTGATTTTTAGGAAAAAGTTACTGTAATTCTTTTAAACTTTAAAATAAAGTGTGTCGTAATTACATTATTATCGATCTCTTAATTAATTTTAGCAATATAGTTAGGTTTTTATTTGTCGCGAAAAAACAAAACAAAAAGAACAAAAAATGCTTTAATCAATACGTTATTCCCATCTTTCATATTCAATTGTTAATGTAGTATTGATAACGTATGGATAGATCTATCTTGTTATGTCCAAACATTATACATTAACGTGTATAAAATGGCTTCAAGATTGTAAAAATGTTACTAAACATCTTACAATTAACTGCCTGTACAAACTAGAATATCGTGCTTGAGGAACAGTTATATATTGGAAATAAACTGAATACAGAGATCACAATTTCTATTGTGAAATCACATTAAGTTAAGATAACACACACACTCAATTGATTTGATATATGATACACAGTACACTTTCGATTTGATTTAGATTTTTTAAGTAGGAAAATGGCACAATGACTAGATGGTTTACAACATTTAGTTGGTACGGATTTTTCAGGGTACAGGCTAATTGATTACTATATAATAGATTGAATCCAATTGTGATTTGTATTAGAGTATCAATGTTCATTGGTGACATTTCATAAGATCTAAAATAAAAATAATATATCAATGACAAGGAATAGGTAATTCCAACCCATGAATGAGCAGTTCCGTTGGTAAAAAACATCCTCTCTCTAGCAAATATAAGCCGTCCCTGATAAAACTGACATAAAATAAAAAGTAACATGCAATTATCAATATCTGTTTCAAGGTAATGGAAAAGTCATTCATTTATCACCGAATTCAGATGTTGCTACGGGAAAATTTTATCTGGCAGACATCAAAAGTGGAACTAGCGTCCGAATGGACAATATAAAAACCGTTGCAGGAGACTCAACGACATACCGTAACAATGAATTTGACGATGAATTTAGGTAAGAATCAGTGTCTCTAGAACATTTTACGTTGCATACAAAAATTTTGCATTTTTAGACAAAAAATATATGTTTTAGAAAAACATATGTTTGAATGTTGATGTCCGTTCAATAACTATTTTATCTTAACAAAATGTAACAGACAAAATACATAGACATAAATTAATCCATTTTCATTAATTTTCTATATTCCATTTAAACAATGTTTATATATTCATTTGCAGACCCTATAATAAAGCAGAAATCGTTAAGCGAGCAAAAAAAGAGACTTGGTAGGCGTGGATATAATTTAGCGACCAGCAACTGTGAGCACTTTGCTACAGAGTGTAGATATGGGCAACCTAGAAGCAAACAGGTTAAGCACGAGTTAATTTAAATCGATTAAATATCAGCATAAGCGTACCATGTATCTATTAAAATATTTCACAATATTTTAGAAGATAATGATCACATCTTTTGATTATTTTATGATTGAGACAATTTTATTTTAAATACAAATACAAATTAAAACAATATTTCCTATGTAGTGGCCACAAATGGCTTACGTTCTCAATATTATTTTATACCATACAGGTAAAGGCAATCGAAAACATATGACTGGATCACACCGTCTTTTTATCGAGCTTTGCAAACAGGAGATGTGACTAAATTTCTAGCACCGCCCGTCCAACAGATTATTTGCAAAGTTTTCTACTCCCCACCTGGTGACTTGGTGATCTGGTGAAAATGTAAATAATGCAGTTGCATAAGATAATCAGAACAAAACAGCCTTCTTTCATATTATGTTAATAATGAAAGTATAATGAATTGATTTATCTTGTTTGAAGTGGAAAATTTGTGTGCCTCTTCGACATAACACTTTGTAACTTGAATATCAATACACATTATTTAAACCGTTTTCTCCTTATCATAATAAATACATGAAAGTTAAAAATTTACTGTTGATCTGTTTTAACGTTTCCTTTATTCAATCACATAAGGAGGCCGTTTTGAAATATGACACGTGCATCTAATTCTATACTATATTTTTATCTATCGTGTTATTTACACCGAATATTCTATTTTATTTAGCAATATATATTTTAACGTTTTCACATGTCAGAAACGTGATATTTATGTGATACCGCGCTCCAATTCAAATTTTAAGCAACCATAGAAAGGCAATAATACACACGCACGATTTCCCCACAAACTATTTCATTAATAACACAACCGCGGATGTATGGAAATATAAGATATTTTTTTTAATTTTAGTTTTGAATATGCGCTTGTCAAAATAAACAATGACAAAACCGAAGAAGTTTTCATTACGAAACGGTGTCTATGTATATTTTTGATTAATTATTTTAAAAAATTCAACACCTAATAAAGTGAATTTTTCGTAAAGGTATCATATCTTGCTTTGCTGAGTTTTGTTTTAAATGCAAACGTGTATAAATTAAATTACAGTGTAATAACATTTATCACGTTAAATATGAAATAAGAAACAGACAAATCCTGTTTATATACTTAATCTAAGCGCCTTTATTTTTAATACAAAATGAATTGCATGTAGTATTGATATATGACACAGAACTTGTATCGTTAGTATAGTTGTATAGCAAGGTAACGACGGTTAAAGTATAAATTTTAATCGTATAGACGCATACATTATATAAAAGATGATCGAAATCGTAACATAAGATGACCGATTTTTAAAATTTAGCTCGTGTGTTAAAAAAAGATATGCTGACCTGCATGTATTATGCTCGCAGTGGCATCGCCATCGTCGTTGTCGTTCAAAAACTTAAAATTTATTATTTAATTTAATCATTTTAAAGGATAGCGGCGTGAAACTTGGTTTACATGCTTATCATGACAAGATGCAAATGTATGACAAGGGACCTAATTCTAGGACGATTATTAAATGAACGGTATCAACATGAAACTTAGTATACCATGACAATGCAAAATTATTAGATTAGGTGCATGGTTCTGAAATCTTTATTTTCAGGGTAATGTTCCTTTTTAACTTATTTGTCAAAATTTTGTTTTAAGTTCAATGATTTTAAAACTATGAATGGTATCAAAATGAAAGAAAGAGTAAAATTGTTTATCATTTTAACCTACTTATTAGACGGTGACATACTTGTTATGATACGCAATTCTTGTATAATTAGTGTTATCTTGCATAAAACGGTAGAATATTTATTTAAAAATACATGGTAGCTTCTAGCCACAAGTCATTTATGTGCTAATATTGAGTTGTATTAGATATTTGTTATCAGAGGTCTCCATTATTTGACATTATATTACGATGAGTGGATGATATCATAACTTAGTGAGTTTACTTTCTCTGTTTAAAAAACATTTTTACCAGATTGCTTGGCAAACTTACGAAAAAGCAAACCTATTTCCATAGCCGTACAAGTCGTATTATTCAGCTTGAAATGTTCAAAGTCATAGTTTCTTCCTTTGAAATTTTTCTTATCAAATTATAATATTTTTGTATTATTGTATTACATTGATGTCTCTGTATTTGCTATAAGACAAATCTAGTATATGGAACTATCTTTATGAACATGATTTTTTTATTTTAAATATGAAATCTTGGATGAAACATGTGCATTTGCATGCACTATTTCTATGTAAATTAATTTCGTAACGAAAACGTCTAGTTTCTTTGTAGTTTTTTTTTTCAATTTTATATTTTTCAGTTGGGTCAGTTTTTGCATCACTATTCAACAAATATGTATTATTCAATTTAAATCCCTTTCATCTGTTCTGATATTTTAAGAATACTGTCATATGTTATAATCGATTTCCGAGAAACCCTTTCATCACTACTAAATCAATTTCATTTCTTTCCATTAGAGTTTACACTAATCGTGCTGCTCTTATTAGACGAATGAATTGTGTCTGTGACACTAATTTAAAAAGTGAATCCTTTCTTTATGAAGCTTATTTTTTATTTCAAACAATGATGGCCACCGCCTCGTTTGGTGTATCGGAAATGTAACGGTCAAATGAAAGCATTAAAATACGTTTCAGGACTGACAAGTCAGATCAATAAGTGTCGTCACAAGCGGTTTTTGAATTTGTTTATTAAATAAATGTAATATTAAACAGATAAACAGGCTCGACATATATGATGGAACATTTTGAATCTCCTTATAATCAAGTGTTTTCAAGTCATTTCATACTGTAATATAGTATATATAATTGTATTTTCAAAGACATTCTCAAAAAAGAATTTTTATTTATAATTTAAGTTAGACATTTAAACAGATAAGAAGTTAACATTGTCTCTTTATTGCCTCACATTAACACATTGCTTCAACAATCATTGAATCTAGCAATCTTTATATATCAAGTAGACTATATACACATACGGTATTAGACTTATCTATAGCTTTGATACAATACTTACGACCTAAAATGAAATATATACTTACATGTACACTGTAAGTTACTTATGTCCGAGCGTATTAGTAATATACATTTATGTATATGAGATATTTGAACCGAATTTAATAACACATGTTAAGCGATGATTGTACTTAATGTCCATATTTGTATATCATTCATTAAACAATCTAATCATTATTTTCCGTTAAGGCCGTGTTCCGAATTGGAATTGCCCTTCGTATAGGAAACATATTAAATTTAGATTTGTCAGTTTTTATTGTCTATTTGTGAACATTGGTTTATAAATGCAAACAGAAAAGGTAAATAAAGATAAAATATCAATACCAACGTAAACCTGTTGTTAGAATATCACGAATGCATTAGTACTTGAAAAAACTCTCTTTCACACAGTCAAATGGATTGTTAGCATCTTTAAGCAATGATAGTTTTTTGATTCGCGTGCGCTATGGTCTTTAATGAAATGATTTACATAAACAAAGGTTTTCTCTTCGAAAAAGAGATAATGATGATGTTTTCAAAACCTTACTCATAAAAATGAGAAAAAAGAATCCCTAGAGTAAGCCCTACGCGACAAAATTGAAAATATTGCAACCTCGGCTTGATTGAGCCTGTTCATGGACGGAACTGGAAAGTGCAAGTTGTCGTCCGCGCCCCCCTCGCACCGGCTTTTGAATTTAAAAACATCCGCAGATGTGTTCATACAGAGGTTAGCATTGAACCTCCAATGTTGACAAAGTTTTTTATGGTCAAACTAAAACATCTCAATTAGTATCAACTAATTTATGAAAATTGAAAATTCATCAGGCTTCTTAATTAGGTTCATATACCACAGTCGGTCGTGCCTTTTGAAAAAAAAGATGAAGCTCATCTGATTTAGCAATTGAACATAATAAATCAACAAGAAAATATTTTAATACCTTTTACTGCTATTATAGATGCAGTAAAAGCTAAAAGCCTGAAAACGCAATAAATATATGTATGTACATAAAGTTTAACGCATCTCTGTAGGTCAATGAAGGCACCGGAATATGTAAGAAGACATACATTTATTCAAATAGTAATTGTAATTAATGAACAAATACTTAAGATAAATTCTAAAAACTTTGATATATATGATAACATAATTGTAGAAAAAAGCATGTGTTACTCTAAATCTTAATGACAAATGATGCAAAGCAGATCATTTTAAAGCAACACGGATATATCTTCTCTTAATGAAGCATGAAATTACAGTCAATATGATTAATGTTTACAAATCACCTGCATCTAGTCGACAAACGCTTTCAATTTATTCGTAATGTAAATTTATGACGGAATATATATTATTCTAGCAATCAAATACATAGTATTCAATGACAGAGACCATCAATTGTAATAGCAAAGCTCTCTATTTCGTTTGTATTAAGTTTATAATAATAAAAGCATTCACAGACAGCATTTATTTTACACAGCAGACAGACAAATCATTAGAGAGAAATATGTTATCCCTGAGTTTAATATGTGTATATTAGTTTGTTCAAAAGCTGTCTGCTTTTTTATTGACGTAATTAGTTATGCTGATTTAATTATCAGAATCAATTAAACAAACACAAATTTTAAAGTGTACATTTGTTACGAGATTAGACGTGACAACGTCAGTCACCTCAAATTTCAAGCAACCATGAATGGACAGTCATCCTTCACATCTACCAATACTAAATCAATTATACTCATAACAAATTCTAGCATATATTCAACATTTTTATTAGATAAAGCATTGGTTTTGAATGTGGCTTGCAAAATAAAAAAAACAATTTATAAAATGGCAAAACTCGAGAATATGGGCACTTTCTGATTATCACGTTTTCTGGGGTAACATTACATATACTAATTACGAACAAATTAAAAACACTTTAAAAAGAATAAATAGTACCATGCGATCAGGGTTTTTTTAATGTAAGTAATGT